TCGAATTTGGCAGAAGGTTTTTTTTCATGCAAAAGCACAAAAACATGGTCGAATTCCAACACTATTGGAAGCGGCAAAGGCTTTTGTATTGTACACACATTAACTCCAAACGAACAAAAATACACTTTCTGAAGAAGAGATGAATGCTCTCAAACTGCTGGTCCCAATTAATGTGATACCCAAACTTACTTCAAAAACAGTTGATTTACTTTTGGACAGCTTTTATACGTTTGTTTGTACGAGTAAATGTTCGTTGGGTAATGGATGTAATTGTGAATGTGAAATGTATTTTGAAACAAGGGTTCCTTGTTGTCATATGATATACTTCAGAAAAAGAGGAGGTGATGTGTTTGTTGACCCGCGTTGTCCACTTGGATACTACATAAACATCAGGGGTAAAACACGACTAATCGTGAAGGGTCCTTGTTCTGCACCACTTTTTACTCAAGATGATTTTGCAGAAAAATGTTTAATTATCGAAAATATAGTTACTATTCATGAAGTTAAAGTCGTTTCTGATAATAACACTTTGAATGAGAATGATGTCAAAAAGAAATTGTTTGATTTAACCCGCAATTTGAGGAGAAAAACTGTGTTCAAAAAAGTCGTTGGTTTTGTTGAAGAAATTGACAAATTACGAGAAGACAAAACGGGATATGAAAATGACGAAGTAAAAGACCCTTTGGTTATAGCGTGTGCTGGAAAGAAAAAAACTAAACTTCAAAGAATGTCGATGAATCATTGTCAATAAAACGCAAAAAACAAAAACAAGAAAAAAAGAACAAATCAAAGATTTTAAAAAATTAAAAAAATGATTGATTTTTTTACAAGTTAAAAATATTTCTTGTTGTCTTTTTATTTGTTTCTTAATAGTAAATATAATTATATAATATAATTTTTTGGTGTAAAATTGTTTCTATTAGTTGTATTAAAAATTAACTATATTAACAAATGTATACGTGTTGGGTTTGGGTTTAAATCTTATTCACCCTCAATTGTCTTGTTAGATAAAATAAATTATAATGGTCATCCAAATGAATTATCTATTCATCACCATTCTATGTCACATACTTGACTATCCAACAAGTATTCATTAATAAAATTTATTTTCGTTATAATTTACTCTAAAATAATTAATTTTTATATTATTTTCAGTTTCTCATTGTTTCCCACAGAGCAAAAAATTGTAAATCAGAAAGAAAAAAAAAGAAATTATTATTTTTGTTTTTTTGGTTTGCCACGTCACAAAAATGCCACGCAGTGCACAAATTGTTACGGTTTGGATTATCCTGCTGAAAACAATGAAAACTATTTTAAAACACCAATTGAATTAAATTTCATACTTCTTGTTATATTCATTAAACTTCAATCTATTTTAATATAATATATTAATAAAAAATAGTAAATTATAAATTGAAATAATCTGAATGAACTTAATATTAAAATATTAATCAATATATTAATAATTGATTTTAAGTTTATAATTAATAGTAAAACTCTCATATATAAAAAATTGTTTTTTTAATAATTCAAAACCACTTTTTGTGATGAGTAAATTAGAAATAGTGTATATGATGAACGTTGCGCTTTATATCAACACGGTAGAGTCTCTCAAAACCTTTATGGAAGTCAACAAGAAGTGT